TTTTATTTTGGAATTAGCTTTTTTGGACCAAAGCCTACTTTGCTATGTTCATGACTTGGAAGTGTACCAGGATCTGGGCATCATCATGCATAGACAGAGAAAAACTATGGCTATGTGAGCTTCTTGTCTGCATTGCCTAATTCATCAGCTTCATGGATAAGAGGGATCTAAACATTGTGTTGACAGCCTGACTCTTTTCAGCTAGAGTACGATCTATGTTGGCAATAACTGCAGGGAAGATATAAAGGCAGTTCTGTACAATGTTGTAGACTGCTACTTTGTTTTGGAGATAAATGCATGATGACATCTGTAGCGTTCTCCCTTATTATGTTAAATAGTCATGCATTATTCATGTTGTAGGCTAATGTTGTTGAGAGGCGGAGCAGAGAGAGAGGTTAAAAAAAGGCGGAGCCTGAGAGTGATGAGTCAGTCAGAGTCAGACAGGGAGAGAGATCAGAGTGGAGTGAGAGCTAGAGTGATATTTGGGAGATCTGAGGTGTGATTAGTCAGAAGAACATATAATAACTGTAAGATCAAATAGAAGATTGTCATTGATGATTTATAAACCTGAAGAAGATACGTATATATAATTATCAAAACATCTGTAATAAATAAACCTGTGTTATTTAAAAAGTCAGAGATGAATGGACCTTCATCTTTCCTTAGAAAGGTATGTTGATTTAGTCATCAACTGGTGGCAGTGTGTGAAGAGGTTGGAAGATAAGTAGGGGTAACTAAGGGGCAATCACCACAACACCTTTAACGTCCTTTAGCCAAAACTGTATTGCATTTTTCCAGGGGTATGACACAATTGACATAATTTGGATTGGTCAATTGCCACACAATAAGAAGTTAATATAGGCATTTGTAGGTGCATGCTAAGCTGCATGACTTGACACATGACAGCAAACAAATGTGCTAGCTTCTTTTTATGTGCTGTCAGGTCACCTCCAATTTATGGTAATCCTGTGAATGACTAATCTTCAGCATTCCCTGTCCTCAACAGCCCTGCTCAGTTCTTGCAAACTCAAGCCTGTGGTTTCCTTTAGGGAGTCAACTCATCTCCTATTTGGTCCTCCTCTTTTCCTGCTGCCTTCCACCTTTCCTGGCATTATTGCCTTTTCCAGAGAATCCTGTGTTCTCATGATGTGCACAAAGTTAGATAGTCTCAGTTTCAACATTTTTGCTTCCTGAGATAGTTCAGACTAGGTTGATCTAGGACTCACTTGTTTGTCTTTCTGGCAATCTAGTGTATCTGCAAAGCTCTCTTCCAGCACATTTCAAACAAATCAATGTTTTCCGTCAGCTGAGAGGGAAAACATACTCTTGTACTTCTTTACACTGTTACTAGGCCTTTCCTATCCAGGTAGGGGTGCAATTGGGTGATCAACTGGAATTGATAAAAAGCACTCTTGGCCATAACCAATATTTGAGCCTTCATAGAGAGTGCCGGATCCAGGAGTACCCACAAGCTGTGGACCTGATACCTCGGGGGAAGTGTAACCTCATAAAAGCCAGATACGTTTCGCTTTAGCTCAGTGGCCTTCCCAAAAAGATGCCATGGTTGACAGTAAGGCTGGAGAAAGATCTAGGAGGACCAACAGGGTTCCACTCTCCCTGTCTGCCTCCCTTAGAAAATTGTCACGTGGATTCAATCTTACAGCTGAAGATCTACAGACCTTACAGCACAGAGGCTTTTGCGGTTTAACCCGCAGCACCACCGAGTCCCTCTGGACGTGAATGGATTATTCAAATAATCCATTGCTAAATTAATTTTCTTAAGAATGGGCCTTATTGCATATTTTTGGCCCTGCCAATGGCAGACATTGATTTTCTCCATTAATTTTGTTATTGCACAACTGAAATCTGTCAATACAGTGGTAAAGAAAAACAAAACAAAACAAAACCCCTTACAGCCAATATTGCCATTTAAAAAGAAGGCATATGGTCCCTCTGTAGTGTGTTTTAAAGTAGATGTGTCTCCTTAAAGTTGTTGTTGCTGTTTTTGTTTTTGCTGCTGCTACTACTGGGCTATTGAATTTTGGTAGCTGCACAATTCCTGGTGGGTTGGAAAGTGGTAATGTAGCTGTCCCACCCCTGTGCATTTTAGATTTGGGATGCTTGAGGAGAATGTTTTCTTTCATATACTGTATTCACCTATGTTCTTAGAAATCCGAGGATGATACATTACTTACTCTTTTTTCATCTTTCAAGTTCAAACCAATGGACTGTCATTTTTTTTTATGGTGGGCCCAAGCTCTAGTCCTAAGTACTAGGCTCTTTGTATGTATCCAGTGTGGAAGACTACATCTTTTAAATAAAACACTGGGCTGGTACTTCCATGCAGATCTTTGATGAAGAAGGGACTAAGCCCTGCTAGCTTCTTTAAATCATCTAATGGTACACAGTGTGAGTAGTCTCTTGATAGTCCCTAAGGCAGTATTCCTGGACACCTCCTTATACCAGCTTGGAACCTATCCAGCTGCTCCTATGATGGAGCGAGCATTGCACAAGCAGAAGGAACTAATAAGATTCTGACCCTATAAGTGTTTTAAAGCTAGGTCTGTTTCCAATCTGTATCTGTTGCAATGCTTTACTCTTTTTGCTATGAGGTCATTAGCACTTTTTTTCTAATATGTAGCAACCGATTTTACAAACAATGGTTAAAAAATTTGGAAGTAGCCAAGAAATAAAGGCATGTGTTAGTCTGCTGAATAATCACCAACTCAACAGACTAATACAGCTGTGCTACAACCATCTCTGGACTGCTAGAAGGGCATTTCTTTTGTTTCTATTACCATTCTGGAGCAAATGTGAGTAGGACACTCACAGAATTCTGAACACGAGCACTACACATATGTTCAGACTTATTTTCTGATGAGTAAAAAGGAAAGGGATTGTTCACTAGCAAGCAGAGAGAGAGAGGAAGTGGAGAACCCAGCACAACTGTCTGCTAGACAGCTCTGCCAAGACACTCTGTGTTTAAAGCCTTGAATCAGGAACAATGTTCAGGCAAATAAATAGCAGGGAGTGCATGACATATTTGGACTCATTTGGAGGAAACAGCAGTTGCAAAGACTAGGTGCTTTGACCTGAAAAGACCACAAAGGCCAACTGGTAAAGAGGAATGATAGACTTGTAAGCCTGCTAACGTTAAGCACGGAAGGTTTCTTTCTCTCTTAACAGAGAAAGAAGCCAACAGAAGGATGGATAAAGAAAACACACAATATTTTGCATCAGGAGTGGCACATCTTTCTTTTAGCCCTTTTGGAAGAAAACAAAATACAGTTGAGATGGAGGCCACTTAGACACTTTATAAAGCCAAGAGAAAAATATGGAAAAAAATATACACATATTCAGAAAAGGAGGAACATTTCCTAGGACTTCCTTCTGCTCACCTCCACCAATTCCTTGGTTTCGGAAGGATAGATCAGATTTGAAAGAACAATTCATAGATATTGAAAGTGACAATACCCCGCCCTCCCTATGTTATGATAAAAATTAGAGAATTCACTTTGTCAGTTTATACAAAGTAATTAGGCATGCCATCCATGAAATTTTTCGAAAAGACAGATACAACTTTAAAAATTCTACCCAATTATTACAACAGCACGTATCTCAATTGTTAGACATCCACAGCAGTGTTGCAAAGTGGTTATTTCCAGCTTTATTTTGTTCAAATAAATAAGGTGTATGAAGTTCATGTACACAAAGCAGACCAAATCCACAAATCACCAAACACAGGCCAGGTGTTACTCAACCCAGTTTTAGTTTCTGAGCATCCTGGAAAACAAAATCTGAACACCCTTTCACTGATTCAAAACTTGACAACTTTGCACTGAGCTTGTATTTAGCCTTAGCTGAACTGACAAAAATTCCAGGTGGGTTACATGAAAGGTGCTCTTGTGGCCAGCATGTTTTAGACATGTGTGATCCTGTTAAGCCTCACATTAGTCTCTATTTACCCTATCTCCACACCAAAATTGAAGTTTCTTTAGTAAGAGGACTGTGACCTTTTGCTGCCACCTACTGGTTTCTGAACAATCCTATATATTTTGTTTCTTGAACAAAGGAAACTAATGGAATCTGTAACAAAACGTTGCAGTGTGGAATGTTCACGTTCCAGCCAACCAGCCACCTTTTCTTCCAGAATAATCCATAATCTTTGCTCCCATTTGGCTGCTTAGTTTTATTGATTTTTTGGTCTGCATATATGTTTTTACAATTTAAGATTTTCTCCATTGATTTTTAATTTTAATTTTTATTATTATTGGGGTTTTTTTTTTTTGTATTTTTGTGTATCCCAATCTCCCCCGAACATGCCAGCACCTTCCTCTGGCACCTGGCAGGTGCTACCATTTTTACTACGTAACAGGCGCTTGAAGCAGAGTATCACTGATGCATGTGTTGATGGTGAAAGGGTTCCCAGGCACACAAAGACTCTGCCTGCAGTAGCAAGGCAAGATGATGCAGTGACAGTAGTGCTTGAAGAGCCAACCTGCCATCTAAATCTTCTAGTTGCTGAATCCAGCAGAATTCTAACTGCATTTCACAGCACTGGAGAAAAGAGAAACTACAATTGTATATGCCTCCCAATCCAGAGGACACTGATGTAACTCTAAAACCTGTCATGCAGCATGAATTGATTTAGTGACAGTCCATTCATCCCTCATTCTTTCTCTTTCATTCACAAAAATCTGGTGTGCTAAAAAGATCTGTGTATGTGTGTGTGCTGCTCAGCAGAGAGGAGGACAAACAGACAACAGTGCCATGGGTATGATGGGTAACAGAAACCGTAGCTGCCTTGTCTGTTACTGCATTGCAGGATCTGGACATGTGAATACCTATAGCTGTAACTGAAGTCTGCAGGTGTGAATACTACAAAAAAGCCCACAGTGTGATGCTGCAAAGCAGAAACGTCTGCTAACTGGAACAAACATCCAACCTGGTGAACGAAACATAACAGATGTACTATAGCAAAACAAATTTATTCAGTAAAATCAGAGGTTTTATATGCACATGATCAGTGGCTGCATTAAGTCCACAGAAGATAAGTCAACATTGCTTAAGAAACTAGTATCATTCTTAAGTTCCATTAAAATACAGCAAAAAATAATCTACCTGTTTTTGGTCAAAAAACTAAAAGACATAGAAAAATCTTTTTGCCACAAAGGAAAACGCAAATCAAAATTTAAAAACCAAAACCACTCCTGCAGCCTAACAAACTTCTAAATGGCTTTCTGGACCATGAATCCAATCAGCAGATATAATAAATGCTTCTTGGGTTTAACTGAATTCCAATAGATACTGATTGTGGTAAAATGGAAATTCAAAGTAGGAAAGTAAGTGGAGTAAGGTGGACCTCTATGCAATTTCTGATCAGTTAAAACACAGAGATTCCCTATATATACCCCCTTGCTGTCAAGTAGGACAACAACAGTCACATGAAGGCACTTCCTTTGTGCAGAGTGGAATGTGGAACTCTATGCTTGGAGAAACTGGGACCATTCAGGTAGGATGTGGACTTAGAGGCATGTGGCTTCATCTCCTTGAAATCAGGGGGTTTTCTAGTCCCAAAGGCAATCCAGCCCCTGGGATTGAAGTAGTTCCTCATCCCTGAATTTAATCCATGTATTTCATTTCATACAAACTTTAGTTCTAGTTTTCTGTTAAGTAATATCATGAATTCCAGTCTTGAGGCATACCTTAAAAGATCACTTAAGGAAACCTGTTTTCTGGAAAAATGTAGACAATTTCTTCCTATTCAAGGTCAAACTATGGCAAAGAACCAATAAATCTCCTCTTTCCCTAGCTTTTGTCCCAACATTTTACAGATTAGGGTGGTCCATTCCATGGTCACTATGGAAGTAATCACCCACTACCAGTTCAGTTTCCTTTTAGAAACGTGCACCACAAAATACATCTCAAAGTTAATAAGATAACTGTGGATTTTTATTTATGAGTGCTAGCTTTCAGGCAGTTGGACATATATGTTCTCATTTAAAATACCCCAAAATTGCATTCAATCAGAATCTAGAAGGAATTTTTCAATGAAGGAGAGGTTTTGACTCTAACACTAGATTTTAGCTTAATTAAAACCAGATTTATGCTCCACTGTAGTAATGTTGAAAAGCAATCACACCCAATTCATAACCCAACTAAACTGAAGCACTGCAGTTTAAGCTACAGTAGTCCCTCTGGGAAAAAAATCCAGTATTAGTCCTAGCCCTAGAGCAGACCCATTAAAATCAGTAAACAAACTGCACTTGACCAGTCCTGTTCATTTCAATAGATTAATTTAGGTAGCTGTACTGTAATGCTGAACCAATTGAAACCAATAAAAGCACTTAAATGAATTTTGAATTAGGTTTTAGGAAGCCATATTGCTTGCCTGCCAGGGGCTTGTATGTTGGTCTTAAAGTCACTTATATTCTAGCTGATCCACAAATGGAAGTGAAATTAACCAGTGATACAGCTTCTCAACAGAAGCTACTTCAGACCGCAAGTGGTGGCTCATGTCTGACTGCACTTACACAGAAAATCAGAAACAAAAATCTATCCTTGCACATGTCAAATTGCTATCAGAGAGAGAAAGCTACACTGGAACACTTTTCACTGAAATCCTAGCTTTCTATATGCAGGGACAGTTCATTTGCTATATGGAAACATTCACCTTGTAATATGAAATGTACCCATCCACCAATAATGGTATTACCCAAAGCTGTTACATTCGGAGAGCTCTCACTGTTAGAGCCAGCAGTGGTGACAGTTTTAGGATCACTGCCATTGTATTAGATCAACTGTATTCACAGAGAATCCACTGCCTCAGACACCCTATGCTTCCTAAAAAACCATGCAGCTACCTGTGCTCCTATGTAACTATGTACCTTCCATCCTCCTAGACAATTCAATGCAGCACCCACAGTGAAAGTAACCAGTTACCACTGAAACTGTTCATGAAACTGTTCATAACTGTATAGTCTGCATAGACAGAGCAAAAAAGTGGACAGTTTTGGAACATGTTGCACCCATGAGTCTGTCGAGGAATTATCTTCAGCTCTCCTTCCTTATGTTCTCCATCTCTTCATTTTGTTCTTGATGCTGCTTCCTAGTTTCAATCATAGTCTGAATCTAGTGGGTAAAGAAACAAAATGAAAAGCAATGTGGAGACTCAGCAGAAACTTCTGCCACCTCTGACAACTAGTATAAGAAGGACGTCTAGCTTTCAAAAATGCTTTATGCACATTTAATGTCTAAGTGAACTTTAATGTCTCTTTCATACATGCAATTAACAGTGCAAGTTTTTGTTTTTGCATAAGCAGTGCCTCTTGGTGATGCTTGAGAAGCATTGTGTCTTAGGAACAGGGAAAAGGAAGTTTAGCTCCCTGCCCTTACAGTTTGGACAAAAAAAAAATCCCTCTCCAAGCTTTAAAGTCTTGCACTCTGGCCACAGCTGCAGATGCAAAGGCAGCATACTTTGATGTTGTTAGGGGCCATTAATTTGTGCCTGAGTTACAACAACCCTAACAGGGTGTTCAAGGTATCTGAAAAATTGAAGGAGAAGTTTCACAACAGCAACCTCCTGCATGCCCCAAGAAGTTTCTATAGCCAATCAGGGATTTGAACCCAAGTCTCCTCAGTCCTAATCCTTCACTCTATGCACTCCATCACGGTAGTCCTCACAATTTACTTAGTTCACTCATACAGAACTCAGATGTATGATTTCCATAGATTTTTCTACACAAACACTGGTCAGACCTAGAGCTGCTTAGTTTCCGCAAGCTTGCAGTACCATATGCCTCCCAAACATGTTCTCTGACAAAAATCCCATGAGGAAAAACATATGTGAGGGGTGTGCACAAGCTGGTGCACTGCCTCTTTTCAGCCCTTCTAATATGCAAGTCCCTTAACCCTTCCCAACATGAGGAAAGGCAATTTGTCAGTGCTTTTTTTTGGGGGGGGGGGAGTGGAATCCTCAGTGTCCTGGCAAGACCACATACCTGTTTCAACATAAACTCTAATGGATTCTCAGGCTTCTCATATACCAGGTTTTCAGTGATCTCCTGAGAAAGACAGGCATGATTATATTCGTCTCCTGAAGGCAAATAATGAAAAGATTCACAAGTATATTGCCACAGGCAAGGATAGTTCTACTTCTGTGACGGGAAGGCAGCACATATAAAGATGTATATTTACAAATATTGGCATAATATTTCATTTTATCTGCCTGGAAGCACTTCTGACATATAGCTAAACCCACTTTAACTCACAGCTGCAAATAACTCCCATTACTTGGAATTCTAATACAGTTCCACCTGACCCTGATTTGAATAACTGGAAGCTGCAAATAAAAGCACATCTCATAAAACATTCAGGGTTTAGATACAATACAGAAGCACATCAGGTTTATTTATATACCTCTCAACCACAAAGGTCCCTAGAGTGATTGATAGCCTTATAAAAATAACAGAAGAATTTAACAACTGACAAATAAAAGAGATCAGAAATAAACACAGGAAAAGTATATTCCCCTCCTCCCCATCACAGAAGAAAAAAAACACACACCAAAAAACAAAACAGCAATGGCAGAAGCAGCATACAGTTTCTGTTTGCATTAGCAACCTGTGAGCTTGGACATTTCTACTCTTTGGACAATTTTCCTTGAATTCATGATGAATCATGATTTACGAAGACCAGAACAAGCTTTAGGCTTATGTACTGCACTATATCCAGTCTTAAACTGAGTTAAAACTTATTCAGCCATATACTCTTAACCAACCAAAATAACAAGCTAAAATGAGCAAACAAATATAGAGCTCTGTACATTTCCAAATTATGGAGCCCACATTCTAGCTGTTATATGGCACAAATGAGGAAATGCCTTGCCTAGAGGTCCTCTGACATATGCAGGCTGTTCTCAACTGTGCTCATCTGTGTGGGTTTTGTACCTGAAGTATCACTGAACATGTTTCTGAAACTAAACAATTAAAACTGATTTTCCAGTTTAACAGTCTGAACAGCAATTACAGACACATGTTTAAACTGCAAAGTGCGGATTTACCAAATATTTTTCTAAATTATCCCATAAAATCTAAAATTGTTTCTAAAAGCAGATGAAGAACGAAAACTTAAAATCACGGGGAAGAACACTTGAATTGACAGGAACAAAAAAAAAGGAAGCTGCTTAAGGATTATTTCCAAAATGAATGTCAGTTGTTGTGAATACTGGGCCTCATAACACAGGACTTTGTAGGGTCTGGCACTGCTGTTCTAAACAGGGATCCTGAAAGGAATCTCCTGAAAGTTGGAGAATTTCACCCTTGCCACAGACCTCCTGTGACCACAGCAGATGGGGGTCAGGGAACTTTTTTACCTTTTACCCCCCCCAAAAAAATGTATATAAGCCAACATTACCCCCTTGATTTGAAAGGAAGGAAATGATACAGTAATGTATTTGATGAAGCCACCCTTTTTCCCACAATTCAAGCCTTGCCTGTTCTTTTCATAGTTTGAGTCTCTCTCTCTCTCTCTCACACACACACACACACTATACAACCCAGGTTCACTTTCAGGTATGACATTTATTTCTCAACCCTTTTCCACTGCCACCAGAGGATTTATTCCTCACTCTATTACAGGGGTCAGGGTACTTTTTTACCTTTTACCCCCCCAAAAAAATTTATATAAGCCAACATTGCCCCCTTGATTTGAAAGGAAGGAAATGATACAGTATTTGATGACTCCCTCCCTTTTCCTGCCTTAATTCAAGCCTTGCCTGTTCTTTTCATAGTTTGAGTCAGTCTCTCTCTCTCTCTCTCTCTCTCTCACACACACACACACACGGTTAACTTGATACACACTCCATCCATCCATCCATTTTCTCAATCCATTTAAATAAGCTTGATGAAGCCTTTGGTCTCTCGCACCTTCCTTCCCCTCGTTAACTTGATCCTTTCCCTCCTGCTGCTTGCTTGCAGTCATTTCTGGAGGAAGCAGCCATTCAGAAGCCCCGGATTGATTGATTGCCCACGGCTAATCCACAGCTGTAGCCAATCAAGCAGGCTTATCTCCAATTTCTGAAAGAATGGAGGATTTACAGATGCCCTGCTGCAACCGAGGAAACAACAGGGAGAGGTGGCTTACAATTTGAGGTTTGGCTTCAGGGGGTGGGGGGAGGGAGGGGGGTAGCACTCTGTTCATTACCCCCAGGATTTTGGGGTAATTTACCCCTGTTCCCTGACCATTGAAATAAGACATCTTCATCCCAATATCAGAAGTCAGACACCCCAAGACACAAAAAATCTACAAGCTGTTTTGAATACTCTCAAAACAAGATTGGGACAAACTCTTGAGGGATCCACTAAACAACTATACATATAGGAAAGTTGTTTAGTTAACTCAGCTCATCCATTGCTCAAGTGAAAGAACCCACAAAAAGCAAAGAAAAGGGGGATAGATCACCTGAAAAATCTGCAGAACATTATGCTTCTCCATGTATCTAAGTGAAACCTCAAAGGGGTCTTGATACACCATCGGCATGGGTTCATCTAGAATTTCCTCAGAAGTAGTAGCTGTTGGTAGGGCAACTGATTGCTCCACTGCTTGAGGTGCCACCTCTTCAGTCTTATGAGATCCTTCTTGCGACTGCACAAGGGTTTCCAGTGAGCGGACCAAACCACGTGGAAACTCAATTTTACTTTTTGTGAGTAAACTTCCAAGGGTTTCCACAGGTGGAGCAGGAGGAGAGGATTCTGATTCCTCATCCATTGACAATACCGTTTTGAGGAATTGGGATTTAGTTCCAGGGGAATCAGATGCGGAAACTGGCAGTTCAGAATGCTCCTGCACCTCTGTAACCAAAATTTGTTCTGATTGTAGCTACAATATAAATGAAGAAAAGAACAATTAAAAGCAGAAATGTGTACACATATTTCTTATACTTTCTTCAATATAGCTGTTTCTAACACTGTCCTCTCCCTTCCTCTTACCTGCCCAAGACTATCCTTTCTGTATGCCTACTCAGGAGTGTACCAACTAAATAGTATCAGATGCTGTGGGGAAAGAGAGCCAGAATTTTGTTTGTATTTTATACTGCCTGTCTGGCTGCCAAGGCCACTGTGGTCGGTTTACACAATTAAACAATATACTGTATCACTGAACAACAGTTAAAACAAAAAAAAGCAAAATAGTATAAAATCAAAATTAAAAACAGAAACACTAAAACAACTAATAACTAAAATGATAAAAAAAGCAAGGTAAAACTAATAATAAATAAATGATAAAAAAGCGAGGCGGCATGAATGATAATGTAAGTGTTAAGAGCACCACTGTATTGGAATGCTAAAGGTATGTCTAAAAAACCATGTTGTTAACAACTGCTTAAAAGTTCAAGAGACCAGGTGCATTTTGGGTGGGAGGCTGTTCCAAAGTTGGCGCTTAAAAGTTCAAGGGACCAGGTGGGAGGCTGTTCCAAAGTTGGGGAGAGACCACCAAGAAGGCCCAATTTCTAGTCCTCACTTTCCAAGCCTCTTTCAGGATCAATATTTTCAACTGCCCAGCCTGGGAGGATCATGTAGGATGGGCAGAATGCATGCATATGCTTTGTTCATAGGCTTCTTTCGGGATCAATATTTTCAACCACCCAGCCTGAGAGGATCATGTAGGAAGGGCAGAATGCATGCATATGCTTTGTTCATTAATCTATTCTAAATTGCTGATGAAGCTAATACTGTACTAGTATGCAAACTTTCATTTTCTATGTACACTATCCAAAGAAGAGTTTTTATCTGTTGTAATGCGGCAGCAAGGTCTGTGTGCTATACTGGACTGTGTATTAGACTAACAGCAATGGCGAACCTATGGCACACATGCCACAACTGGCACGCAGAGCCCTTTCTGTGGGCATGCAAGCCGTAAGTCACCGGATCACTAATACTCTCCCCCCACCCCGCAGCCAAAGCTGTGGAGGCAGCTGCAGCCGTGGTGCTGCCACTTTGACAGGTGGTGGGCCAGGATATGGAGCAGCTGCCACTTGTTGGTGGATCCAGAGAGGGATCTTGAGGCACCTCCATACTTGGGATTCTTCCTGCAACCTCCACTTCCAGTTCTGCTGCCATGGCACGCTGGTTCCCCCCCCCCCAGTTTGGGCACTCAGGCCCAAAAAAATTCGCCATCACTGAACTAGGAGGTGGCTACATGGACAAATAATGGGGAGAAATGCTCCAGGAGTAGGACAATTTGATTCATATTATTTTCTGTTGATTACATGACATACTGTACAAGTCTGTGAAAATCAGCTATTTTTTATTGTTGTTGTTGTTGTTGTTGTTGTTGTTGTTGTTGTTGTTGTTGTTGTTGTTGTTGTTTATTCGATTTATACCCCATCCATCTAGACAAAAGTCTACTCTGGGCGGCTAACAATAAGACATAAAAGTAAAAGCAATACAATAAAATAAAAACAACAGTGACAATATAATTCCAAATGGCAAAATCATTAGGTGATGACAGGAGGGAAAGCCTGCCTTAAAAAACAGGTATTAATTTTACTCTTAGAAGCTAGGTACTGAAGCTGCAAATTAATTAATTAATTAATTAATTGATTAATTGATTAATTCATTCATTCTCTTTCACACACAAACACACACACCCCACACAATCTAGTGGCCTTGCTACTATCTTGGATGGTTTCCATCAATAAAATAAACATAAAAAATAAACATAAAGAAAACCAAATCCAACAAACCTAAAAATCAAGATGGTGGCAACTGACAAAAAGATTACAAAATATAATAGTCACAATAAGGGTAAGTTACCAACATTTATGAGGGGAGGATATCCTGGAATGCTTCCCTGAAAGATGCTCTTGCAGGGTAGTTTCAGGCTCCCCATCAATTTTATGACTAATGTAAATATTAGACTAACAGCAATGGCGAACCATGAATTGATTCTCAGATGGCTGTGCTATAAAAACAAAATGCACCTACTTTTCTCTTCATTATTGCTGTATATCTTCTTTATGCTAATATATGTACACGTGCCAATCAACTATGATGTTTTTTAAGGAAGTGACAACCCTGCTAATACACCCTGTTTCGATGCCAGGGAAGAGCCTCTAGCATTTATTTAGTATGTGTGGGATGCTGGTTTGGGAAATAAGAACTCTGAGAATAGAACTGCTCCTGTTTTCATCTGTGAGAAGTCAGAAGCCATCTGTCTTGGTGCAGATATTTTATGTATAAATTCAATATGCATATATGCATAAACTGTTCCTATTGTCTACTACCTGATTTTGATTTTTTAAAAAAATCTGTTCAACTCTTCTGAGGAAATAACAAAGATGCACGGGAAAAACACTGCATGCACACAATACTTTTGAAAAGTATCCAAGTACCCTTAGGTCTCTAAAAAATAAGGCTACACTTTCTAGGAACTATGTCTCAGCAAATGTACATAGGTTTATATTGTACTTAACACTTGCAATATGACTGGAGAAACACATAGATGGATTCAGAAATCATGAGATATTTGAAACCACAGATGTTTGAAACCATTTTAAAAAGGCAGCCTAATTTGTTAAAAAAGCAGAAAAAAATGGCTGTAATGGATGAGTATTCAAATTTCTTTTATGAGGATCACACAACCTTCACAAAACTTGCGAACTGAACCAAATTATACCTATTCTTCCCTGCCACTACTAATTGTTGAATCACTACCCCACTTAATGACCAAGTTCATTGAGTTACTTGGACCAGCCATTCACTTACCCTTAGTGAATGAAGGAATTGCTCTCCCCCCCCCCCCCCCCCCCTGTTGCTGGATCAAAAAGGTTCAGCTTGGACACAGATCAGGGTTGGGCAAGTTCACAATCGCATGCACATCATATAATTGCCAGGATATAGCCTACATTGGACGGTGTCATAAGCAGTCTAAAATGAGAACTACAGTATTTCTCTGTCAGACTGCACACTAAGAGTCTTCTTTTTAGTCTCATCCATTCCTTGTAATTATGTGGAGAGATCTTTCTGGTGGTGCTACAGGATTCTGAAGCTCATTCAGTTGTTCACAGCAAGGTAGCATGTAGAGGAGCACAGTGGCACCTATTATACGTATAGTGACTCTCTCTGCTATTAAACACCTCAACATTTTTTATGTTGAAGTCTTACCTATTTTTGAAAACCTTAACGGGCAGTTTCAGTCGTACCATGATTGTACAAGTAATGTAAATGTCATGTTTTCTTTCTCAGATACTGTATTATTGTTGCAAACCACTTTGAAAAACTTAAGACATACTATAAACTGTTTGTAGATATTTATCAACAGTTGGTTGGATTCCGACTGAGAGTAAAAGGACACCCACTGAAAACAATGGAACTTAAGTTAGCCATCATTAACTCTCAGTAAATCATTTCTAAGTATAACAAGAAATGTGGTCCTGAGCAGAGCTGTGTGGATACACCGGATTGCCAGACAGATGAACAAGTGGGTTTTAAATCAAATCAAAGCCTGAACTATCTCTGGAGGCAAAGGCAGAGCACTGGATTGCCAGACAGATGAACAAGTGGGTGCTAAATCATATCAAAGCCTGAACTATCTCTGGAGGCAAAAAGGATGAAACGGAGTCTGTCCTGCTTTGGGCACATCATGAGAAGATAGGATTTTCTGGAAAAGACAATAATGCTAGGAAAGGTGGAAGGCAGCGGGAAAAGAGGGAAGGAAGCCCAAATAGGAGATGAGCTGACTCCCTAACAGAAGGGAATTTCTGTAAAGGAAACCTGAAAAAGGACTGCTGGAATCAGTGACTGCGGAAATTATGATAACCCCCTTTCCCCACTTCTTCCAAAGGGCTGAGCGGGGACGTGGAGTGACAGTGGTTGCGAGACAATATGATCCACCGCAGAGCAGAAAGATCCCCAACAGGATGTGTGTATCGGAGACGGGGGCAGGCAGGATTACTATTAAGTATTACTAAGTGTATTAGCGATCCTTTTACAGCGCTCGGCTCTCCCTCAAGTGTTCCCTCGCTGCCCCTCCATTTTCCCGGGGTTCGGGGGGACTCCCCCGTCCCTCACCTGCTCCTCGAGGGAGCCCTCCTGCTCCTGCTCCGGCCCCTGCTCGGCCATCTTGGAGCCAAGGGTCGTTTCATCTCCCACCCCCGTCCGACAAGGTATTTTGCTGCTCGGCTCGTTCCGTACAGTTTGTTATTACGTAAAGTAGTGCGTAGTGACGGAACGCCGTCGTTGCCATGGGAACGCCCCCCCAAGCTCTCGGTCTCCTCGCCTCCCGCGTTGTTGGTCGAGCGGGAGAGAGAAAGAGGCGGGGAAGGAAAGCTTTTTGGGGTGTTTTAAGACAGTGAGGTGATTTAACGACCGGGCAGATGGCGCCGCGAGCGGACATGTTCCTTGCGGGCGGAAGTGTTCCGTTACGACACTTTTGGTTGATTTAGAGCCGTGGTATCCTCTTCCCCAGCCACATCTCCAAGGAGCGACCCTTTGGTTCCGAATCATAGGCCATTTCCCAAAATTTCCTCGCTCGAATCGTACGGGAAAATGTTCTAAACATTACATTTTCTTGATAATATTATGTACGCCGCCCTAGGGCCGCCTAGTTGATGAAACGGCGGAACAGATTTCAAATAAAACAAATTAGTTTTAGCGGTATTTACGTAGTTATGAAATACAACACCTATATACCTAGGTGATGGCTAACTATATACTCAGCATGTTCAATGGGATCTCTTTCAAGATAACTAGTTGCCGCGCAGTCGTGTGCGTATCCCCAAGAGAGGCGAGGTCCTATTAAATTCAATGGGATTTTCTCCCATGTAAGTGGATTGTATATCAGATTGCAGCCTGAGCCTTCTAAACTCAGTAGATGTGGGGTAAATACGACATTAAAAGTTATCTTTAAAAGGAAACGCTAGCAAAATTCCACATCATTTAAGCCTCGGCTAGAACTTTTAAGAAATTATTTGTAAAATATATTGATCTCAGCTTTGAGCTTTTTTTTAAAGGTGTATATAGAAGAATAGATGCTTGTGAACTGAGACACAAAAGAGAAAGCAAGCACAGGCATTGTAAATACCCTGAGATAATACTGAAGGGTTGGCATTTCAAGCCATGGGCATTCTGGCATAGAATAAGAGAGGAAGAAATCCCTAAAATGGTAAGCGCTTCGACCGTGGAAATGGGATAGGCAACTGATTTCTGAAAGTAGACAATATGATGGGATTCTTGCTTTCAAAATAGTCAAATCTCCCAGCTGTATCTAGGAGTGACAAAACAGCAAAATAATAATAATAAAATAAAAATAAAATAATGTTTTTAAAAAATTGGAGAGCACAATTCTGAGTTGTTGTTTCAGCTGCAAGAATACAATATTTATGCAATGTTACAATGTCCAGTACGTCAGGGATTTAGCATCCACCTAAAGACAAGTACTGTATTTATTGCATGTTATCATGTTGTATAGCGTGCAATAAGTACTTGTTTACTTAGAAGTACATCATTTTAAATTCAACTAATTTCAGAGCAGAATAATCTGGATTATAAATGCACATCAGATTGAATTCTAGAGTCCACTGTGTTCATTTTGGAACAGGATAATCTGGATTATGGTACTATAGTTTGTACAGGACAAAGGCTAGTAATATTTTAGCTGTTGTGGATCTTCCCTTACTGCTAAGGATTTAATGATTTTTTTCTCATGCAATTTTATGAATGTTGGCATAAATTAAACAAAGCAATATACATAGAAAAATAAATTGTTGGAACATGTTAAAGCTAGTTTTTTTTTTCAAAAAAATTCTGATTATCTTAATGCTACATTAATAAAACAATTCCAAGCAGAAGAAGTGGGGAGTGAGATGGTAGAGGAAGCAGGGAGACAAAGGAGTTTGTCTAGTTATGTGCTACCTGTCTCTTCACTGTAATCTAAATTCTCCATGTTCTGGAGTTGTAGGTACATTTGCTACCTGCTTATAATGAATGTTGCTGTGAAAATTGTTAAAAGCATACTTCACATACCAATCCAGTATCCAAAGTGGGTGGACAACCACCAGAGGTCTGAGAGCTGCATACGTTGGGCCATGGAGAGCCATTCCATTGTACTGAAATAGCCTCTTCATGCCCTCTAGTGGCCAAATATTTTTTTTAAAAATTTCCTTCCCCCCCCCCCCCGCAAAAAAGAGGAGTGTTTATGGACCCCAAAGCTGAGTCTATAGTAAGAATGGAGAACCTATGATCATCTAGATATTCGTCGTCGTTTAGTCATGTCCGACTCTTCGTGACCCCATGGACCAGAGCACGCCAGGCCCTCCTATTTTCCACTGCCTCCCTGAGTTGTGTTAAATTCATGTTGGTTACTTCGCAGACACTGTCCAGCCATCTCATCCTCAGTCGTCCCCTTCTCCTCTTGCCATCACACTTTCCTAACATCAAGGTTTTTTTCCAAGGAGTCTTTTCTTCTCATGAGATGGCCAAAGTACTGGAGCCTCAGCTTCAGGATCTGTCCTTCCAGTGAGCACTCAGGGTTGATTTCCTTTAGAATTAATAGGTTTGTTCTCCTTGCAGTCCAGGGGATTCTCAAGAGCCTCCTCCAGCACCACAATTCAAAGGCATCAATTCTTCAGCGGTCTGCTTTCTTTATGGTCCAGCTCTCATTTCCATACATCACTACAGGAAAAAACATAGCCTTGACTATTCAGACTTTTGTTGATATTATTGGTCTGGAATACTCATCAGCCCTAGTCAATACTGTATGGCCAATGGTGAGGGGTTGATGGGATCTGCAGTTGAAGATCTGGAGTGTCATACTATGCTCATTTCTAATTTTAAAACTAGGATTGCAAGAGAAGAGAATAGGGAATGAGATATTTTCTTTGTTCATAAATATATTTTTTCACCAAGAAAAAAAGTAAGCATGGGGTCAGTGTTGATTCCCTTTTTACTTTACAGGGCATAGATAAACAGATTTGTTGAGTTTCATTGAAAGAGGGCAGAAAGAATCATGAGTTTAAAGCACAGCTTTGCACAGTAAAAACCAATTGTCTGAAGTAGCTTTTTTCATAGTTATGCTCAGTGGGAGATCAGGGACAGAATACAAAAGACTGGAGTAGCTCTTTATATGAAAATTGAAAGGCATAGCATTTTATATATGAAGGCAGGCAAACATAGGTTTATGCCCTATAAACTGCAAAGAAGAAAAGTCTGATATAAAACAGTATTTCCAAGTTGCTTTTTATAGGTCTGTCATCCCATTTTTAATGGACTCCCTTTATGATACTAAGCCTGTGTCCATAAAAAGGTCTCTTGAAGATATGATTAACTCTAATTGTTAATCATAACTAGACCCATTACTGTATATATCAATAGGACTGGATAAGTCAATACAATGTCAATTCCATTGATTCAGTGGGTCTGCTCTAAATGGAACTAGCAATGGACCACTGTATTTCACACAAGCATGCCTTTTATGGTTTTGTATTCGCTTTTGCACAACAAGTTAGCAAATCCATCTCTTAGGTTACAACCCTGTACCAATTTATGTATAAGCAAGGAGTCAACAAGATTCACATCTAAGAGTTAAATCACAGGTTATGTAGTGGCAATGTTTTGCCATCTATCCGTGAATAGAAGATCCAGTTTTCAGAGGTGGCAGTAAATTCATACTCTTGAACATGCTTAAAATACTTCCATATCTATCCCTTGCATAAATAACAGACATCATCTTCATTATCATTGGACTTGTAGGAAATTTATCAGAACTGAAGAACATCCAGCTCTGAGCACATTACAAAGCAGTAATAATGGATAGATTCTCTGAAGTTTCTGTTGTTTGGGTCTGTGCATAATTAGCTAGGAATCGTGCCTTGTTTCTGTCTTAACCAAGAACCAGTCACCTACAGCAGTCATATTCTGCCACCTTTACTTTGAAGTCATGAAAGGAAACATAAGTCTCCAGATGTTAGAAAAATCAAAGCTTGCACAGTCTCATCATGGGTGACATTTCTGTGGCTAGTTCATTTCATGTCTCAATAGTTATTTCTTTCGTAATTTGTGCTTTTGAATGGGCCTGTTTCATGTGAGTGTGTTTAAAGTGCCCAACTACACAGTGGGTCCTGTAATGGAATATTCCGTTACAGGCCCTTTTATTCCTCCACACAAACATCTACATAGATGTCTGATTGTGTTTAGAGGCTCATTGCGGTTTATTTCATTTTATATTTTTAAACATACAGCATGGACCATAGTGCAAGCGCTAACACAGGATGAAGGCAGAGAGGAGTGGATTTCTGGGAAGTTACTGTGTTTTTGCATTTGCTGTTAACAATAACTGCATGCCTTCTAGTCAATTCTGACTTATGGAAACCCTTTCCAGAGTTTTCTATGTACTGAGTACTCAGAATTGATTTACCATTCCCTTTTCTAGGGGTGCCCCGGGACTGTGCAACTTTCTCAAGGCTACAAAGACTGGCTCTACTCATAGGATGCACAGTGGGGTATTGAACTCCTAACCCATAGCTTTACAGTCAGATACCTTACATGCTGTTATTTTCTGCACATTGTGGAAATCTCCTACCCCATACCCCAAAACAGTTTTGTTTTCAGGCTGGAATGATTGCCAGTAGCTCTGCTGAACAATACTGACCACAAGTTGCAGCTGACCTTTAGGAAGAGCAAAACAAAAAGGATAGACAAAGCAAAGCAAAACATAGCCCAAAGCTATGCCATCACTTACCACACTCACAGCATTCAAAAATGCCAAGACTGTTCATGCATCAATGCATATGCATTCTCTCAGGTCTAAAACAGCATTCGCATTGTGTGAAGACAGCCCAGGTGACATCAGAAATGCCACTGACTTCAACATTATTTCAGTTTGGACAAGCTGCCTTTTGTGATATTTGCAGCAAATACAATGCATTGGTGCACATCTGGAAAGAGGGTGATAACCCCATTGTTAAGAAACAGCAGGAGAGCATCACCTTTGCAACATACGGAATTCAAATATGGATTCTCCCACAGGTTATTGATTGTTGTTGATAGGAAAAGAGCGGGATGAGAGCAGAGCCTGAAAAAGATCCTTTTAAAAAGTATGAGTACAACTCCTAGAATTCCCCCAGCCAACATGGCCAATAGTTCTAGATGACTCTAGACTCTACTTCTCTCTGAATCCTCACAGAA